GTGAAAGAATGTGCCATCAAAGTTGGACTTCAAAACCATTAAAAAACATCCTGGACACCTTTTGCTAATGAGAATAGATGATGATAATATGTACAAGACTGTAAGGACCCAATAACAATTTGTCTTATGTAGACAAAAATGAATACATAGGATCATAAAATTAAATGATTAGATTTTTTTTAAATTCTAATGTAAAGTCTTTTAATAAGTCAAAATTATCTTATTGTTTCCTCAATGAAAAACAAATAAGAAATTAAATTCATCTAATTAATAAGTAGTGCAAGTAGTGTAATGGATATCGGTGTGGAAAGTGGAATTGGCAAGCCAAGTTCAAATTTCACTTTCACACAAATGTCCTTAACAAATGCATGAATCCATAGCTATGGGTTAAATAGCATGTTAGACTGGGATCTTTTGCCTTGTGTGGTAACCAAAAGAAAAGAAGGAAAACTCTGAATTCCAATGCATAATAGGAAACCACTCCACTATCTTTCCTAAGAATTTGTGCTAGTTCACAAATAATAAGAAAAAGAAATTTGTGGAGAGCCATGATTTCCTATACCCTGAAAGGATATGACATTAAAAACAGTATTGTTCTCTAAACTTAATTAATAAATACTTTATTTAAAATTACATATGATGGGGAAACTATCATGCCATTACAACCATGCATTGATGAAATAATTAAATCATCTCTGGTAATCTGATCACCTTGTATAGTGGTAGGTGGATGGGATAACTGTTCAATCCTATCACAGTGTTATTAAAATGAAACTTAAGTGAACCTTGCAGAGCTTAAGTACAAATGCAAAGATATAGAAAGTGTAACTGATGATCAATCAATAGTTACATCTGTATCCCTTCAGTATAATTACATTTAAAAACCTTTGGCTTCATATATATTTCTAGTAGTTACTAGTTAAGGATTAAATAAAACTGAAAAATGTAAACGGTTAGAAAGGAATGAAGTAATGAGAACCAAATGCTCTTTCTCTTTTAAAACTATATAAATTTATAGCAGTAGACAGCTTAAATTGAATACAAGGGAAAAACTGAGGTTCATGCAGTATCACAAAATGCCATAACATTAAACAGAACTTGCAAACATTATTACCCAAATCTGGATACTGTGAAACGTTTTTTTTTACTGGTTGCAACAAGCAGATTTTTGTTTTTCAGTAACAAACTGTTCTAGTTTTACAAATTATTTTTTTTTACAAGTAAATGAATGAAAATTACTTTGCAATTTTTTCTTCACTTTCAAAAATTAGTATAATGTTATTATCAATATTTTAGCAAGTATTTTTTTACATTTTAATTATCAGTTGCTTTTTATTACAACCTCTCAGATTTTCCGAGAGTAAGCTGTATTGATGTGGCAACTTCCTTACTGATTAAACCTCAGAACCCTCTAGCTGCATTTGTTCAAATCTAACCATGTAGCCATTTCTCATGTTTTATAGCCACATGATATTTTGCTATTTTATTTATATATACCTAGTAGTATTAATAATATTTTTAGTTTCATAGATGAAGCATTGTCAGTTATTAATTAATCCATATTTGTTATTAACATGTGTTTAGTGATTATTTCTTTTTAAATAGAAAACTTTCATTTAAAACATCTGATAGCATTTGTCTGGTTTAATATCTATGTAAAAAAAAGTAGTAGCTTTTTAAACTGTAAGATCCACATTACTTTATTGGGTATTATTCATTATTACTCATAATTAATAAACATATATGACTGAATATTCACTAAATTTGCTTTGCTACTGTGTATTGATTTGGGTAATTTATTATGTAAAAATGTTTGCCATTCATTTTCAATTCATCAAAGGTTTCCTTCTGTAAAAATATGATTCTTTCAATTTCAAATGGTTTGTCTATTGGCAAGTTTATTATTTCAATATTTTTAAAAACCTTTTAACACAATAAAATTGGCATATTCTTCTATAATAAAAAGTACAAGTAGCAATTTGATATTCTGTTTATTTGGTTCTGCTTTCTACTGGCTTGAATTATTTTATCTCAAACTACTATATAATAATATTAATTATTTATCTTGTTCCACATTCACATAGTCAATGGAAATTCTTGTTCTTGACAAGACTCCTTACAGCTCAAAAACTTTTTAGAGAATCCTTGCAGAATAAATGATGGCAATTTTCTGGAAGTCTACAATTTTGCTTTGAGTTTCCTAGGTGGTGTTCCAAGTGCACTCATTACTACAGGAATTAGTTCTACAGTCATGTTCCATGGCTTCTTCAGCTATGTAGCCAGATCCTGGTATTTTTCTATCTTTCAGTTTCTTTGGAGTTCACTCTTGTATCATATGGAACAGTAAATTCAATAATTTAACAATTATTATTGTCTTTATCCATAGCCATAAGGTTGGATTTTTGTGCTTCATTGTCATGATCTGTCTTGACTGAGAAATCCCATAATATCATGAGACTAATGTTCTGGCTAATGTTCATACTACTTCTTTTGATTATCATTATTATTAATGCCTAAGTGGATAAAGTATACATGTGAGTCTGTGTATAAGTGTATCTATATCTATATCTATCTATCTATCTACATATATATATATATATATATATATATATATATATATATATATATATATATATATATATATATATATATATATATATGTGTGTGTGTAGGCGGGTTTGTGTATGTGTGTGTGGGGAGGTGTTGAAAACTTCTTGGTCTGATCCACTTACAAAAAGCAGTATTTCAATGACCAAACAGAAAATTGATTTAGAGAGGTAGATCAGTATGAGAATTTTTCAGCAACCCTTTGTATATATGAAACACACACACATCCACCAACATACATGTGTATATATAACATAAATGTATTCACATACATACTTAAAAGTCGATGACTCATATTATAATGTAGGAAATTCAGTTACGCATCAATTTTTTATATTAAAAATCTGAACATCCAAATTCCAAATAATAATAAAATAAAAATAAAGAAAACATGGTTATGTCTGTTAAATAATTCATTTGTCTTTACAGACATATGTATATGAATTCAAAAATAGTCAAAAGGTGTAAAAACTAGGTCTTTAGTTGAATTAATGTCTTTGGTAGTTGGGCTACAGAAAAATCTGTGGGTTAGAACTTTGATTGTCAGTGAAGATTCACTGACTGTCCGTGATCTTGTTGCAGATGATTTGTTTGAAGTTGCCAACACTTTCCTTTTAGCATGTGCTGGGGAAAAGGACAAAGTTATGTAGCCATGTCTTCTCTTGTGTTTGAATGACTTGGAGAAGTTGCATCTCTACTCCTTAAGGTTGAAATCTGTGGGGTTTTTTTAAGAAATCTTCCCTCAAAGTAGGTTTAAGTAAAATAGGGTTTTAGTTTTCTATTATTGGTAATATATTTCACATGGTGATGTTAATTTCTAACCAATAGACACTTTGATTTAAACAGTGCATGTTGTATTATGGAATCTTTTTGGCATGCTTGTAAATATTGTCTGTTATTAGGTAGAAAATAAAATTTTGGGCATGTTTTAATATGATATGTATTGGAAATAGGATTTATTTCCTAGAATATCTATTGGTTTTTCTAAAGTAAAAATTATATTAACAGAGCAGAAATATGTAATCTTGGCATTTAAGTCATGCTCTGAATGACCACTGACACTCAGTCATTCATTTGTTTTTTGTAACAAACTAAAAAAGCATGTGTACTACTACTTCTATATAATAAATGTGAATGTCAGTGTGTCACACTTTTTCAACTTTACTCCTAGAGGCCGTAGCCCAATATATCATACCATTTTGGAATCAGGCCAACTCCATGAGTAAATTAAAAACATTCCAGGCTAGATCTGGATTCCCAAGTTTTCATTACTGTGATTTTTTTTTGGCGATTTTTTTACATGATTTTTTTGTGATGAATTATTTTGTACAATAACAGTTTTTTTTTATAACATCTAAATAAATTTTAGAATAATCAAAATTAAGTGTGAAATTCAGCGAAACTCACCCATGAAATAAAAATAATTTTTTGTACGAAAAGTAAGAACCTACGTTCATCAAATTGTCTTTAAATTAAGTCAAGTGGAAGCAGAAGAATTATCATTGAATTTTTAAAAGGTAAGCTTACAATACATAATTAAAATGCAATACAGCGATCAATTTTGAGTTTTTTTGTAGTTTATTGTTGCCAATCGCATCTACTCGTCTCCACCTATTGTGATGAAGGCCGAATCAATAGCCCTCTGCAGGAGTTAGCTTAAAAAGCGATAGCTAGTAACTAAGTGCAAAATTAAATTAAAATACTAAAAATAAATAAAAACACAGTGATATGCTTTTTTTTTTATTTTGTTAAGTTGGCTACGTATAAAAATTAACAGTATGATAAAAAATGGTTGAAATGAAAAAAAAAATTTTAAGTATAAAAAATAATCTTAAAAAGAGATCTAATTTTCTGATGTCGTCTGCTTGATTGGGTTGGAAAAACAAAAGAAGAGAGAGAGAGAGAGAGAGAGAGAGAGAGAAAGAAAGAAAGAAAAAGAAAGAAAGAAAGAAAGAAAGAAAGAAAGAAAGTTTCTGTCTCCCACATCTTCTAACATTCAACATGGCGACAACGGCAACGAGGGGACAACAATGTTAAACATCGACTTTCCTTTTCTCATACCTCAGTTCTGAAGATATACATCGACAATATAAAGCACCACTGAATTTTGTTTTTGACATATTACCGATATAAATAGTGTGTGAAATGTTTCATTTCTTCATGTAGTTCTTACCTCTCTCTCCTTTTTTACGCTCGCATAAGGAAAGACCCCCACATACCTGAAAGGAGGGGAAAAACATCAAACCCCCTAAAAATACTTATGAAGTTGATCGCAGGATTTACAAGTAATAAGGTGTGCTTTCTGGATTTTTACAATAATAATGGCATGGAAGGATTTACCTCAGGGAAAAAGGAAAAGAATCATACTTTTCTTGTGTTGAGTGGTCCAGGGCATGGACGGAGGCGGTCAGGCGTCGACCACCAGCCGGACCAAGGCGGAAAAGGTGAGAAATAGAAATATATTATTCACTTTCCTTGTTGATTCTCGAATAAAGTATTAATTTTAGGATATATCTGTAGTTATTGCCTTTTATTTATTATAATAAAAACAGTTTGTAAGTTACCGCCATGTAAAAAGAAATGAGTGTGTGCCTTTCTTTACCTACCTGTTGTTTTCATAACGAAACCTTAAACAAGAAACAGTAGAAGTTTCAAAAGTTTCTTAAAAGTAAACGGAAAAAATATTTTTATCAAGTTTTAAAATTTATAAAAATTAAAAATATATTGGCAATAAATTAATGTTATTGTCATGTACCTTGACAATTTTGAGTTCTTTTTCTTTTCGTTTTTTTTTTTTTTATAATCTTTACTTTATTATTCTTTCTTTATAAGGTGTAGTGAATGAAAATTGAAAAGGAATGGATTATTTAAAAATGGTTATTATTACTACGATTATTTTATTCTTTTTCTTGACTTGATCTGTTTCCAATAAAATTAATAGTTTGCACTTTGCAGTATTTAAAATTTTTATTATTCAAATATTTAAAACAGGCGAATATTTTCCCCCAAAATTGAAGTTTGCTTCGCATTAATTCTCACAAATTCATTTATCTTTAAACTAAAAGTCAACAAATAACGTTTTTCTTTGTAAATTTAAATTTTGTTTGATTTTAGTAAACAATTGTTATTTAGATAACAATTATTATATGATAAAAAAAGTATTTTAAGTGTTTTAAGACTTTGGAAACTAATAAAAATAAAAAAACTCTAGGAAGAATTAATTTTTTTTTTACTTTGTTTTTTAACAACGTAATTGGATGATGATAATAATAATTATAATATAATATTGCTTTTTAAGGACCATATGTTAAAAACACATACATACATTATTCAATTGAATATAATGAAAAACAACATTGTCATTAGCAAATCAATGAAAAAGTACGTACTTTAAAAAAAATTAAATTTTAATTTTTTTAAAATACTTTTTCATTGATTTTCTGGTCAGTCATTGCATCTTTCCAAAAATTTGTAAGATAATGGAAAATATTTCTTTTTTTTCTTTTTTGAAAGGTAAGAAAATTTACTAATGAACTTTAGTTTTTCATTCTTATTCGTTGACAACGGTTGACTAGTGAATATTGTTTTCATAGAAATTGTGCACTTTCTCTAAAAGATTTTTTTTTCTTAAATAATTGTTTTTTTTCTTCTTCTATTAAATTACTGTCGTTTTGTGTTTTTAAGCATTGTTTGGTTTAACTTTTGAAAGCTATTTGTTTTTGATAGACAGGCAGGGAGAATAATCACACTTGATGACTTGCTTGAACATACATGTGATGTTGACTTGTTTAACATTTTTAATTTGGAAAAGTATTTTTATCGTTTCTTTCTTTAGCTTTTCTTGATTGACTTTACCGTTTTGAACTAAATTCTGATCCATAAATAAATATTAAATAAAAATAAAATGAATAAAGAAAATAATCGGAAACTGTTGGCCTTCTGTCATCAATTGTTTAATTTTTTTTTCTTTTACCTGGTAGGTAGATTGATTAGAAAACACCTTCATTTATGAATTGTAAATCCTTTTTAAATTTATTAAGGATAAAATCTTAAACTAGGATTGTTCTTTAGGGTTGTTGGAGTATTTAAATCCGGTTATATTTGCAGCGTGGGTAAAGTTAAAAGATTTTTTTTTACCATAACTTAAAAAAATGTCCAGAATGTTATTTGGCTGATATTTTTGTATTTTAATTTTTTTTTCCTACTGTATTTTTTTGTTTGTACCATTATTTCGTAAAAAAAGGGATGATCTGATTTGTACTGTTAGTTAATAATACAAAGAAAAGCTGCGTGGACTTTTGATATGCTGGATTTTTCGAGGGGTAGCAAAACAAAACTAAACGCATTAAAAAATACACATAAAAAAAGGAACGTGGAAAATATTTGTTCGTGATGAAGATTTACAAAAAGACATAAGTGATTCATCCACCTTATATAGAGCAACTACAATTATCTTTTTATTCTTTTATAAATGAAAATCTTTTTACTAGCTATCGATCGCAAGATTAAAAGTTGAATGTTCAAAGTTAACTAGAAAAGTTCTTGCTTTTTTAAAAATTATTATCGAAAAAGTTTATTGACTAAAAAAAAATAATCCTATGTATTATTGTAGATTTTAGTTTAATTTAGGGACAATAGACACTAAGAGTTGCTCAGTCTGAGTGATAAACTTATTTTATTTTCTTGACAGATTTTATGTGCTTTTTTATTTTTTAAGGGGAAATTATGTCGGTAAATAATTACAGCAGATGTTGATTGACATAAATTGAATTGACTAGTATTGGTTTGGATTTTTATTTTCTGATTTTCTTTTCTTTTGGCATTTAAAATCTTCATAAATTTTGTGTAGAAATTTAACATTTTATATACCGGAAAAAATAAAACGATAGAGAATTTATTTTCATTGGTCCAATGACTGATGAGAATAATGCTGCAAAGAAAGGTTTATAATATGGATCATTAAAAAAAAAAAAAAAGAAAACAAGCCCTAGGCTAAGATTCATGTGCAGACTTGAAAAATCCCCCCTCTCTCTATGTCTTAAATGAGATAGTAGTAATAGTAACAGTTAATTGAGGCGTAATTATAGCTGTGACACATTCTCTGCTACATTTCAGAATGTCCTCAGAGTCACTGACATTTACTGTCATAATTTGATTGTCAGGGGCCAGTTTGGGAGAAGTTGCTGCTTACTGACTGTAAAAAAAAAAAAAAAGTATTAAATTTCATGTTTTATGATATCCTTTTTCATTCTTGAAAGTTTTATAAAATTTAAGTTTTAAATTTGATGAGTGAAAAAAGTCATGTAGTTTTACTTAATGATTTTCTTTGACTTTTTTGTAACAAAATATATTTAATATTTTGGAAATCTTTTTAGTTTTTTTACCCGAGTCGAATAGATTACTTTCGAAAATTACAATAAAATACCTTTCACTTGAAAATGAAACTGAAGTTTAATTAATTTTTTTTTTAATAAAATTATCTTGATTACTTCACTGTTAGTGTTAGTTTTTACAACATTCAGTTGTTTTAAAATTGTGCACTACGTCAGTTCTTTACAAAACTTCGTAAAGCAACAGGAGTAAAAATTTCAAATTGTTCCTTTTTTTTTAACTTTTTAAACACTTTTTTTTCCCCTAAAAAACATTATGAATTTAAGAAGCTCACTGCCACTATTAGTGCTTGTTTTTATTTTGTTCATTATCGCGTAAATTTCGACATTATATTTGAAACTTGCGTCTTGTGAGGTTTTTTATTTTATTTCAGTTTTTCGCTTCTCTTTTCCCCCATTTTACATTAAGACTGAACAGCAACAGGTCTTTATGCTTGCTAATAGCATTCTTGGTTAGCAGCTGTTAAACACTTATTCAAATGCCCTCTATACAAAAAATACGCCCTCAACCGTTGCTTGATGGATGACTAAATAAATAATATATCTGAAGAATATAAATATAAACACTAAACAACTAACTAGTATGCAAGGCAGAAAGAAGTGGTTAAGTAAATTAATAAGATATAAAGAGTTGAAAACTAGTTTTCCCATCTTGTATGAGAGCAACAAAATCTCCGACATTACGCAGATCACTCGAGGAAGACTGGAGTGTATAGCGGCGAGCTTAAATGTTATGGTGGAGGGGAGGAGAGCATAAAAAACACGCCCGATCAAAGTAGAATCATTGAAATGAAAACACCTTGTCTTAAAAAAAAAAAAAAAAAAAATCTGTCCAAAATATTTCTTGTTGAATTGTAGAAAAAAATCAAGCAAAAACTAAAGGTTTAAAAAAAAAGAATACATTTTTTAAAAACTTTTTCCACATTATAAAAACATTTTATTACAGTTCTGAACTCTCGTAATTGGAAGTGGTTTTACAATATTTATGCATTTTATTTCTGTGGGGTCAAGTCAACTGATCTGACAAAAATCTGGGCGCTCTAATATAAAGGTATGGAAAAAATAAATATGGTAATTAATGATAAGGTGTTTCACTACAAAGAAACATTTTTGGCATTCACTGACCGAGCAGCCAGTGCTGTTTTCGGTTGAAATTTATAAAATCTTCCCTTAAAACAATTTTTCAGGAAAATAGGTTTTTCAAGTCCAGTAGCTGTTATTGCTTTTTCCAGTATTATTTATTTATTTATTTTTTTTTTGGTGGTGGTGGGGACTTGTGTCCTTCCTAAACTTTTATTTGAAGTAGTGTAGAATGTCAAAAGTTTGATCATGTCATTATTTTCTCTTTGAGTTATGTGCTACTATCAGTAGCAACAACCATTTTGGTTGTTGCTACTGATAGTCTTTAAGTGATGTGGTTTCTGTTATTTGGCACAATTCTTTGTTTGAGAATCTGTAGCAGCAGTTCAAAGAAGGACGATCTTTGCCAAGACCCAAGCTTCACTCACTCAAAGCCTTTTTTAACTATCGATCTTAGAAAATAGTTGTATATAGCTGATACTCTAGATATTTCTGAATGGGTTTGGCATGCATGACATCCATATGAAAATCTTGATCTGCATTAGCATGGCCACTCCCCCCCTTCATCTTTAGTACATTGGCCTTGAGGGGGGGAGGAGTAGGATCAAAACTACCTCTGGTGTAACCTATTCTATGTTCAATTTCCCTTTCTCCTATATTAAATTTGTTATAACTGATCCATACACCATACAATACTCTCTAACTTGATATAAGTCAATGAAAATGCATTAAAGTGGTGAGGAAACAAGAGGTTTACTTTTGACTATCCTGGATTCCTGATTTGGATTATTAAAATAAGATGAAACCACTTTCTTTTCTTTGGTGGATGGTGATTACTTTAAATCTAGTATTTTTCTCCAAAGTTTTCAGCTGGAAGAAAATAGTTTTTGCTTATTTGGGGAATTTACTTGACCCCATCTCCTAGATTAAGTCATATATCAGTATTAAAATAGATTCTTTTGTGTTCAGCAGTT